GAGATCATTGACAATATGATATGTTTCTCTTTAATACTTATTCCTTAATAGCTAATTTCTTTTTTACTAAACCAAACACTTTACAAAAAAGACAAAATTGAAAAGGATAACAATTTAAAACTAAAATGGAACGAATAAAATCCAGCCCAATGCCTCATATCCAAAATGACTATAGACCATAGTCTTAAACTGCCAGATATCAAAATAATCGAATCCAAATCTAAAAATGGCAATAATCTATTCTTATCATAATATTGTGTTATCTCTCCTCAGTCAACCTCTTACAATGATATTGATAGAAAATTATCTTCTGTAATATTTATTTTGTGTTGTTAAGCATTGGCCATGGTTTCAAAGTTGCACACACTGCACTTTTGAAAGAGATCCTCAAGCTTGATAAAACACCAACACTCTCAGCACCATAACGCAGGTATTCAATAAAATTAGCGATGTTGTTTGAGAGCGGGAGACATTTTTGTAATAAATATTACCCTGGTTTACTTATTGTTTTTTTTCTTCTCTCTAAAAAAAGTCTCCATTTTGGCTTGATATATTTGAGTGACCAACCAAGCGTGAGAGGCAATTAGCGTGCACATCAAAGCAAGTTCAAGTGGAGTAGCTTTTTTTAGTTTAGAGCACACAACAACGAACGTATTCAATACGAACAACATAATCTCTTGATTTCATCAATCTTTATACTTGTGATCATAACTAGTAAATAGACAAACTTGTACATATTTAAGAACCTTTCCATGATGCAATTTACTACAACTGTTCCTTTCAACAAGATGGAACTCATCAGAGAATTTCACCACCAACAAATTCACTTCCGTAAACAAGTCTCCACTCTTAAAGTTTTACTTGCTGGATCCGAGAATGACAGCAAGACTCCAACCACTACAACCTCCACAATTATTGTTGAACCAACTACTAACACAAGTACCTCCAATAATACAACAATTCCCTCCACCAATAATACTAATTTCTCCTCTACTAACAATGACATGATGCCAGTTTCACCAACAACTGGAAGAACCAAAAGACCAACAAATAATCATGGTTCTAGATGTCGATCCCCATACAAGAAAGATTCTCCTTCCAAAATGAAAACTACTTTGGCAAAGGCTGCAGTCCTCAAACACCAAGACAGTGAGACAAGCTTTGGTTCTTCTTTATATGGTGCTGAGAGTTTCGAACAATACACTGAGCTTAAAAGAGTTAGTTTAGATTCTATTAACAAGTTGGGTACATTGAAAAACGCAATGGAAAATGGAATCAAGGAGTTGTCAAACTTGTGGGAAATTTTAACCGAGATGGATGAAGAGCAACCTGGTTCTCTCTTCCTTATGGATTTTGAAGAAGATGGTGAGGAAACAACTCCTGCCTTCTCCATGTCCAATAGCCAAACGAGTTCAAATAAGGTGAATTTGAGAGCACAAAGAATTCAAATCTGTGACCAAATTACCAAACTCATTAATATTGAGAGTACACTTTTGAATATTATAGAATCACACCAAAATATGCTCGAGAATAACTTTGGTTACTCATTGCCAAACAATAAGGAAGATGATCCAACTTATACAAAGAGTAGTTCTTCCTCCAATCTTTTACCAT